TCATATTCTTGTGAGACAGATCTTCAGAACTTTTTCATCTGGCAAAACTGGACTCTGTACCCCTTTGGCAGCAGCTCCCCCCACCCCAGTTTCTGGTAACCCACCATTCTACATTTCTATGAACTTAACTGCTTTAGGTATACCTCATATAGGTGAAGGCATACAGCATTTGATTTTTGTGTGTGTGTGACTGGCTTGTTTCACTTAGCATAATGTCCTCAAGGTTCTTTTATGTTGTATCTCAAAACATTTTGGAATTCCTTTTATGGAATTAATTGTCTTTTGATTCTCTGGCACGTTCTTTTGAAGATAGTCATTTATTTAAGCCTTATTCCAAGCACAGAGTGCCCTTAAGTGCCCCAGAGTCTAATGGAAGCTGTGTATCATACAATACAGTATGGTTAGTACTAAATAAGAGGCAAGTACAGAATAATGTAAGGGTCACATCTGTGTTCTGAGACCCGGACGGCAGCAAAGGTGAATTAGAGGAATGGAAGGAAAGTGGCAACAGACTTTCATACTAATTCAGACAAATTTCAAAGGTTATGAAGGTGGTGGTGGAGAAGAAAGAAGCGGCAGCTCTAGGGATGCTATGCATATTTGCCTCTTGGAGATATGGGGAAAAATGAGATTCCATAGGACAAGATTTGAAAATTAAGTGCTTCCAAGTATTAGTTATGATAAACTGTGAATACCACAGAAAATTATTTTAAAATATAGTCATTGAAGTTTTTTTGGAATCATAATCAGAAAAAGTTATAAAGTATCACATGTTTAAAAACATAAGTTTAGGCTAAAAAATATTGAATATTCAAAAACCTAATATCAAATTGTATCCAGTGTCAGAATTGTAGATGATACAGGAATCAGCAGTCAATACTCTCATTAATATATAAAACATTAAGATTAAAAATGGCAAGAGAAATAAATTTATTCATTTAACCAACATTTATTGAACATTATTTTATGACTTCAAGGAATGCAGTTTATTGAGTGACTGATTCAAGTAAACAGTTGTAATAATTTTTTAATAAGTTAAGTATCAAAGGCTTTAAGTTCTTGAAAGGAACACTAAAGAAGCCTTGAAGTATCAGAGCAGGCTTCTTAGGGGAGGTGACTTTTGAGCTGAGTCTGGAAAAAGAAATAGGAGTGAGTTCTTCAGGCAGAGAACATCAAGCAGGAAATACTATTCATAGTTAGCATTTATTAAGGGCTAAGGGCTTTTACATTCACTCTTTCATTTCATTCTCTCAACACCCTCTGATGTAGGTTACTATATCAGTCAAGATCCTTTCACCAAACAGATGTCTTGTTCTGAAGGGACGTTTGCAAGAAAATGGAAACCAAGTGATGATGAACATTTCAGGACTAGTGACTGTGCAGAGCTATAATCACTCCATGGTCTCAAAGGCCAGGAGAGGGATTGGAGCTTTCTCATGGAAACTGATCTTCCGTAGAAGAATTTAGCTACTACCAAACCATGGCCAGGCAAAGACAGAGCTGGGGAGTAAATATCCCAATTTTTTTCTCCTACCTAAAAGCCCGCTGTGCATCCCAATAACTAAACCTAATCAGAAACCAGAAGATGCTGCTGACAGTTTCCCTGGGGCACAGAGCAGAGTGGGAAGGGATGAAGAGTAGATTTGAGGGTACCCAGAATATCCAGCAGAGTTATTTTTTATTCTCTCCTTATTACATAGGAGATATCTGAGAAGTCATCAAGTTTCCCAAGTTTACAAATGAGTGGATGGAGCCTATTTCATTCCAGAACTTGTTCTCTATACTGTGGTCAAGCCACAAAAATCAAAGGAAACCTGGCATTGGGTACCTACTACAGGCCAGACACTTTCCTATGTGCTAAAGATACAACATGAAACAAAATAAACACTTAATGTATTTAAGGATGAGTGTCAGTGTCTAGGAATTGTGTTCTACTGCTAATTCAGCAGCCAGAGCAAATGGTTCAGTCTCTCAGATAAAGGCCTGAATATAAGCATTTCAAGACTAGTATGCAGCCCTTTGAAGTCAACGAGGACCTAAGTTACTTCTGCCTTTCTCTTCAGCCACCCTTAGTATGTGGCTTCTGTCCTCAGAATCACAGTATTGCCTCAGCCATCACATCTGCATTCTAAGCAGGAAACAAGAAAAATGGGGGAAAAAATATCTCCTTTCCTAAAGGACTTTTCCCATAAGTGCTACCCAGCACCTGCTTATGCCCCACTGGCCAGAACCTAGTCAAATGGCCACTCCTAGTAGCAAGGGAGGTTGATTATTGTAGTTTTTACCCAAATGAGCCCATTACTCTCCTAATAAAATCAGAGTTCTCTTATTAAGAAGGGGAAGAGATGTAAGCTATGCAGTCGGCAGGCTCTGTCACAGGGCCTTAATTCATTTTTCTATCCCCATAGCCTAACAGAAGGGCCTGGCACATAGTAGGTGTTCAATAAAGTACTCAACTACAAATAATTTAGTTTACATAAGAGAGTGTCAAGAGATAGGATCAGAGAGCTGAGTGTGAGCCAGATCCTAAGGGTCTCTGTCTTCTAAGTTAAAATAGTGAGAACATGACAACGGAAGTGCAGTGCCCCCACAAAACCTGGGAACGAGGAACAGCCATAAGCCCTATAGGAGCAAGCTGTCAAATTAACTTAAAATGGTTATGATCAAAGGTCCAAAAAGTCAATTTAATAAAAGTGGAACAGCAGTTAATCCCTAGGACAGAGGTACTTGACTGTGGCAAATCTCCTTCATCAATATATCTGAAGAAAGAATGTATGGGGGCGGGGGAGAGGGGTGGTGTCTACAACGGACTAAATACCAGTAAAAGGAATTAGGAACTGTCTGCCATTGAAATTTTTATACTGACCTTTTTGAGTCTTAAGATTCCTTTTTAATATCAAAAGTTCAATTTAACTTCTTCCCATACACACATAGTAGTAATAAAGCTTTTAGTGTCAGTCATTTGAGAAAATGAAGATGTACAAATTCTAGACCTTTTGCTATAAGCTTGAAGATTTATAGCTTGGTCTATAGAAGTTGCTTTTAGATTTTTGTTTGTCTAGGAGCCACGGTTAAGAAAACCATATTTTTTACATTGTGACCTAGTGATGATTACAGTTTCTCAAAACAGAACTTACCCTACTATGGCAAGGTATTCTGA